GTTGGGCTCATTTTTTCTTGTGAGCCCATTGGCTCACAGGATCATTTTCCATATATATATATATATATATATATAAAGAAATGCAGCTTCATTTTCATTTGTAGCCAAAGAAGAGGCAGGGGTCTGTTTGACCCCAAAAATCTGCAGACAGGTAGATCTCATCTTGATGATCAAAAAAAACGGGGGGAAATTTGTATATGCCTATTTCGAAACAAATGCGGGCCTACCATTTTCAAGAACTGAAAATCGATTTTTTTTTAAATTGTTTATTTTTAGTTTGCAAAATTTTAGTCCAAAAAGAATGGTAAAAAAAACATGTCCAAAAAAAATCCCTCTATGTTTTTATGTATGTACCAATAGGCCCTGGAAGGAGGATGAAGGTTGGAATGCCGACATATATCTATTATCTAATTCACTCAATCCGGTAGTACACATTTTGGGAATGTTCAATGCCAGTCATTGATTGGGTAAATCGTTAATCCCTAAATTTACCATGTAATGTGCTTTATCTGCTTTCCCTCAATGCCGATATTTACCCTGAATGGTGTGGCTGCTTTCCAAGAGTTTCTATCGTTCCAAAGTCTTTGATGATTCCTACTAGATCATATATATAGGTACGTGAAGCACCATTTCAAAATTGACTGCCCCATTGATTACATAGAGAAGATTCCCAAGATTTTATGATCTACTACTGAGCTTATTCTGATTAGTGCTACTTGGGCACAAATCGTGGCGACGTATATGTGTGTAATAGTTTATCATATGTGGCTGCATATTGCAATATGCAGCTGCCTCGAAGTGATGTGGCCCTTGGCCACACGACATTGGCCCACCTAAGCAGGTCTTGCATAATGTCCCTGCGTAGGTGGCCCAATATTTATCCTTGGGGCAAATAGCCCACGAGTAGGGGTGTTTTGGTATCTCGCCCGTAGAAACCCCATGTCCTCCCCACCACCACCCCCACAAAAAAAAAGGAAAAGAAAACTCACATCTCAAAAGAAAAAAAAAACGGGAAACTCAAGTCGAAATTGAATTCTTTCTTCAATTTTGATTTTGTGAGAAAAACTTATAAAATCTTTGCAGCAAGTTGTTGAGTTTAATGTTCCACATGGCTTTGGGTGTGGGGGACATAGAAGGAGATACATTTGGACTTGACTAAGACTCAGATAAAGTTTAGTGTCTTTGTTGGTTTTTATCATTCCCACCTCCTCCCCCCGCCCCACCCCACCCCACCCCACCAAAAAAAAGAAGAAGAAGAAAACCCACAACTCAAAAGAAAAAAAATGGGAAACTCAAGTTGAAATTGAATTCTTTCTTCAATTTTGATTTTGTGAGAAAGAACTTGGAAGATCTTTGCAGCAAGTTGTTTAGTTTAATTATGTGTTCCACATGGCTTTGGGTGTGGGGGACATAGAAGGAGATACATTTGGACTTGACTAAGACTCAGATTGAGTTTAGTGTCTTTGTTGGTTTTTATCAGTGTGTTTTGGTCTTGTAAGCAATTTTGGGTTTTGGTTTCACTTGACAAGACACTAATTTTTGCCTATATGCTACAGTTGGTGCGTATTAGACGTGTTTTCTTGTGCTGATGTGATCGTTGCATTTCGTGGAGAGACTTTCTATTTTTTTTAGTAATGCCATAATTTTATTGGTTTCATACTTAATTTCTGGGTATATTGACATACCCTGTAGTTTTATTTTCAATTTAATGAATGGATTGGATCATGTTATTTTACATGCTAATTCACTAAGAGTGGATCTCGCTGTTACTCTATTGGCGACTGAGATAATTTATATATTAGAGGCAAACACTAATCGAAAGGCATGCTACAATATAGATGACATATTTGTGTTATTCTTTGTATTCTTATAAACTTTAGAATTTTAAGAGTTCTTATATTTTATTGCCCACATAGGAACTGATGCGCCTGCATGGCAGCATGATGGGGCCGCATTGTGCATCGAAGGCCTTGGCATCTCAAGTAGTTGCATAATTATTATTAATGAAATAGAAGTTTCAGGAATAAAATGAAAAATGTCTTCTGTTAGAATGGTATTGTCATTCTCTAATACTGCCATTATATGCACAATCAAGAAATAGACCCTTCCCATGAGAGCATAGTCTTACTGGTCTTAAAAACCATCTCTGTGAATGTTTGTGTTCCATTTAATTTGCACTCTTCATTGTTTGATTGATATTATTGCAGCCTGAATGTCTTCATTTTCATTCTGGAGTTTAAATAATACAATATGCTATTGCCGCAGATGTCTTTATTTCTCGGGAATCTACCTCCTCGCATTCGGCACAGTGAACTTGAACGTGTCTTTCAGAAGTTTGGGCGTTGTAATATACAGCTCAAAGATGGATATGGGTTTGTTCTATATGACATTGTTGGAAATGCTGAGAGGGCATTACAGTCTCTGCGAGATACAAAGATTTGTGGAGAAGAGATATCTCTTACATGGGCAAACAAAAAGCATCAGCCCCTTCCTAGGTTTATGAGGAACAATAGATTTTCTCGACCATATCGTTGGAGTAGTTTCAATAGGAAAGAAAATATTACAAGGAACAGGGGCTCACAGGATTCAAGAGTTCTCAGAACTGGTTCTGAGCATGCGAACAATTACGAAAAAGAGGTCAAGAGGGTCAACTTACTTGATAAAGAAACAGAGTCTGGTCTCAGAGATGGAAGAGAAAAATTTCAGAGTCCAATAGAGGAAATGCTTGACATTGATGGATCTGTAGAGCTAAAGCCATTGGAGAATGATCGATGGGGTGAGTCTATCAGTGACCCAAATGACCAGCAAGTGGAAGATGGAACCCAATTTGATAGGTGTGAACCATACCATGGTTTTGACAAAAGAGAAGATAATGATAAGCATCAAAGGACCGGCTCTTACGGTTCTCCCCCATCACATAGTTTCACAGAAAAAGCATTGAGAGTGTGCTCTTCTGATGCAAATCATAATTATATGGATAATCTGAAACCTTCACAATGTTGCTATAACTGTGGGTCTACGGGTCATATTTTGAGAAACTGTCCTAAGGCAGATTCTCTTAGACGAAAGAAGGGTACCAGGTTTTCTCGTAGGCGTGACCCAGATATTAGATTTTGTAGAAGAGAGGAAAGAGATCTCAAAAGGCTGAGGCCTGGTTCTTGGGGTAGGCTTGATGGGAACAGGGATGCTGTTCTATCAAGGAAGGATGCAAATAATAAAGTGCACTTTGAGCGTGTTAAGGATAGATATACTACAGATAGGAAACATAGTTTCTTGAACCATGAGAAGAATCGGTGGTTTCATTGTAGAAAGGAGTCTGGATATGGGGAAAGAAGTAGAAGGAAACAGAAAAATTCAAATAGACACCAAGTAAAGAAGAGGAGGTCTGCATCCTTGTCTCGAGATTCTGACAAAAGGGGATCTCATTCTAGTTCTTATTCATCCTGGTCAAGGTCACATTTGGACTCTTCGAAGGCCCTTTCAGCTGTAAGTTCCCGTTCACGCTCAAGGTCAGTATCTTCAAGCTCTCATTCATCATCTACTTCAAGATCTAGTTCAGTCTCATCATCGTCTAGGTCTCGAAGCTCCATTTCTAGATCAAGGTCTCTATCACCTCAATATTTGTCCTTACCTGTTTCATTGGATCCATTTGTACCATCTGATTCTGTTAAAAATATTTCAGAGACTGTCACTTGCATAAAACCCAATAAATCTTTGGTTGATGAGAGAAATTGTGATGGTGATCTACCATCAGATTCTGTCAAAAATATTTTTGAGACTGTCACTTGCAGCAAACACAATAAATCTTTGCTGGATGAGAGGAAGTATGATGGTGATCAAGTCTCAGAGCATCTAGAGCTAAAACGCTCAATTCCAGGCCAAAATGATGCAAATAAGTTTGATACCCAGAACATGGAGGTTAATGTACATGGGAATCATGTAGGAGAAGGTGATCAAAGCAAAATTGACGAAAAATCTGAAGAAAGAAGTCCATTTGGTTTTGAAAAATCTGAAGAAAGAAGTCCATGTATAATTAACTTAGGGATTAAGGATTTTACGATAGAGAAATCTTCCCCTCTGGATTCTAGAGAGAGAAAAAATGATCATAAGACTGAGTTAGAGGATAAGGAAGTCAAAAGAACATTATATGAGTGCATGTTTGGAAGTCACGTCTTTGATGCAGCTCGCCTATGGCCATGGGAAGTGATCTATCACCGCAGGTTGAAGAAGGGACCTATTTCAACTGAAAACTATGAAAGAAGGCTTGCCGAAAATAGGGAATTCAGTATCATTGATAAGTATGTGAGGAGCAGCAGTGGCTGGGGAGAACATGGTAATGAGTCTTTATCAGTCCCAGAGGGGAGCAAAGTGGCAATTTCTGAGTAAGTTTTGTCAGTGCACAAGCCATTGGACTGTAATTTTATGCCTTTTGGTAAATGTACATGTGAGTTAGCATTTATAGACCTAGATTACATAATCTGAGCAAGTTCAGTATAGGCAGCTATAATCCCTTCTTTCTGGATTTGATTTTCTAATTCTTGTACGGAATCTTATTTGGATACTTGCAGTCTAATGAATTATAATTTGTAAATTTTTGGCCACCGGTAATGCACCGGTAATGCTTAATGTAATTTATAATAACTTATCAAGGAGTACTAGCTGTAAAGGCTGCTGTGTGCCATAGACGAAGAATCTTCTCTCATCGTTTCTGCCCACTCGTCTTCAGAGGGCCAATGAGACTTCTTTGAGAACATCCAAATTGCCGATCCATCCGATATGAACCGGGCTGGATTGTTAGGATGTGGTGTTGAGAAGATATGAGGGAGAAACTTTCTCAAATTTTAAAGAGAAACTATCTCAAAATTTGAGATATAGAAACTATCTCAAAATTTACGTTGGACGGAGGGGTTCTCGGAATTTATCTATTGACAATGTCATTGATCTCCCTATTAACGGAACCTAGGTCAAATAATTCAAGTACCTATAATTTATATATTTCGGAGGCCTCACTGAATCATGGGCCGATATCCTCTTACTCGGTACCAACCGGTCAACGAGTTGGTTCAACCAGCCTAACTGGGTAAATCTCGGGCGGTAAAAAAAGTGTTAAAAAATACAAAAATTTTTAAATAAAATATGAAAAATATATTTAAAACATGATTAAACGAAACATCTAAATGAAATTGAAAATTAATAAAAAAAAGAAGAAGCTTAAAGCCTGAGCCCTACATAAAAAAAATGGTTCTCATTCTCTGACCAACGGTGGTTGATGCTTGATATGGCTTAAGTTGAAGGTCTGACTTTAGACTCATTTCTCATATGTTGGTCCAAAACACTGAGGTGTAATTTATCAGCGTGATATGTTTCCTAATTTGGCATTCATTAAGAACTGCTATGGGTGAAGTTGTACATCGAACTTTACAGGATCACCACTTGAAAGAAACCTCCTGTTAAAGATTTGATAGAGCTTACGCTGATGAAACCTGTTTATTTTTGGTAGATTGGACTTATTTATTTCTTTATGGACTGATGAAAGGTTAAATTAATTACCAAGAGGAACTCTTTCCTTTTACACCTGATTATAGGGCATCACATTTCTCTGAGTAAGTAGAAAAAGGTGATGTGGACCCAACCTTATTGGAAACCAAATAGGAATGACCATCCTGTAGGTTTACTCCATTACTTGAGCTGAAGAACTCCAACTATATGAATAAAATCCCCTGAATCCAGTACTCTTGGCCATGGACCTCAGAGAATTGGGCCAAGGGTATTTGTTTGAGAGTACATTTTCAAGAGGAGAGATTTTGATATATCCTAGGTTTCAATCCTCCTAGATGTTGTAAAAAGGTTTAAGACCAAGAGGTTCGTTTTCCAAGGGATTCCGTTATGGTGGGGATTTATATAATGGCCCCAGCATAACATGGTCCCTAAAATTATAGTATTGCCGCCAAAATAAAGGCATATTCTACCCATTTATTGCGAATGCAACCCATGGGGGATTCTGACCCCTTGGGGAGCATTTTCTTCATTGTTGAGCTTTGACACCTTAGATTTAGTAAACTTTTGCTTCTTCTTGGGTCCTCCACTCTGGAGACTTTTTCTGCTCCTGCTCCTGCTCCTGCTCCATAACCTTGTTCACTAGACCCTCATCACTATAATCCTTCTGAACATTGCACCCCTATTTCTATTCCCACTTCCACCTTGTGCAACCATGCGTGGCACTCATCTGCCATTTCATTATATTTGAAATGAAACTTCGCTGGGATATTATTGGGAAGTTATTTATATATGTTGTGCTGTTTATATTGTACTACAAGATCAAAACGATTATATTGTACTACAAGATCAAAACGATTAATTTTCTCCTAGCAAAGCCATTTTCATTGTTTCCAAATTCAGACCCGCCCTTGGGAAGTTAGAAACTGGACAATCAAGTGGAGATTATCTCATACAAAAACCAGCGGTTTACTGCTAAAATCCATAACTTACTATAGTTCCCAACCGCCAGACGCGTGCCAAAGCTTTACCAAAATATGAGGCCCGTCTTCCCCAATCCTTTGAATTTGCTGATAATCACTTCGTAAAGATGCTCAAATTGCACATTTTCTTGTAGCATCCCCCTCTTCACCCAAGTGGATCACTTTGGTAGTGGCAAAGCTGACCATGATTACGACGTTACAGGAGTAGTAGTTTGTCCCACCTAGCTACCAAGTAGTTTGGCCCACCTAGCTACCATATAAGCTTTGTGCTTACATGGACCAAATGTTATGTAATTTTGGGGTTCTCATGCGCCAACATCTAAATGTCTATTTCAATTTAGCCTACAGTTCATTAATGCTCATAATTTGATGTACTCTTTTGAGGCTTATCTTGAATTCATAATTTCATAAACCCATGCACCCATTTTATTTGAATTCATAATTTCATAGACCCATGCACGCATTTTATTTGAATTCATAATTACATAGACCCATGCACCAATTTGTTCAGTCAATTTCTTTTAGCTCCACGGAATCCTAGTTTTATCAGTTCCTTGTAGCTTCCTTACCACCAAATGGGATCTCCTTTGGTTCATAGCTATGGTTGGCAGCAGTGTGCATCGAAAACTATAGCATACATTGGTTGTGTCTGCAATATCAATCATTATGTGAAGAATATGGACATTCAGTTGGAACTATGCTTCATCTATCTTCAGAATGGAAGGTGGATGCCCTGCATGTGCATCCTATAGGACACACAACATTTGTATGCTCTTGCATCACTGTACATACATTCATTCCACATCTACTCTCACTTCGTAAACCAAAATTGCAGACTCTTTAAGAATTGCACCTAACATAAATCTGAATGTTTTGTTACATTTGTATCGAATTCTGAATTGTCCATTAAAACGAGCCCAATTTACGTGTCGATCCCATGGTCCATATGGCCCTGAATATACAATTTGCATTTACGACGAGTAATGTGATTATTTAAACCTCAACCCTCCATTTTAAATGTCGAAAAATCTAAACCATCGATTATAACAAACCCTGCATTTGTGTTGACAGCAGGCACCCTCTTGAATGCATCTTCTTGATGAGCCTACACCTAAAAGTGTAAACTCAAAAACGATTAAAATAAAATAAAAATTTAAAAAGGGAGGAATTTCAGAGTCAATGAATGGAATTAACTCAAAAATATAAAAAATGGGGGAAATACAGAGTCAATGAATGGAATTAACTAAAAAAATATAAAAAAGGGGGGAAATTCAGAGTCCATGAATGGAATTAAGTGAGTTTATGAATAAAGTTGAATTTGGGCGTCACCTATTTTTAGAATCCAATTTGACTTCTAAACGGTTACTTTATTTTGATGAAAAGGAAAACAATAAAGAACAACCAACCAAATAAAAAAGTCCAAGAAAAACAAAAAAGTAAAGATGGGTAGAGAGAGAGAGAGTCTTAAAAGAAGTAAAAAACAATTACAAGTTGCAGTGGACAAGTGCAATGCTTAGGTTAGGCATATATCTTCTCTGGTTTATTTTATAAGGGGGTTTTTAGTGGACGGCTCAGATCTTTTGCTTGTCTGGACCACCTTTGGTTTCAAAGATGGGGAGATCTGAACCTTCCAGCCCTAAGTCTATGGAACCATGAAAAGGGTCCTCTGACTCTGTTAAAAGGAATTTTCTTCGCCCTGGGATTCAGGAGAACTCTCATGAAAGTTAACGAAGAAAAGATGTGTACCATGCTCAAGTTTTCTAACTAACATGTTCCTACCCTTCTCTCTCTCTCTCTCTAACATCTCTCTTTATCTCTCTCTCTCTAACATCTTTGGAACCTGTAGCAAAGAAAATACCTTTAATTGTACATGCACATGGCAATTTCCTTTTTATTAATAGACAGCACATAATTGCTTCCAAAATCTAAGAGAGAGGAAGAAAATCATGATTTCGAGGAAGAAAATCATGATTTCCATCAGACAAATTTTGGGATATAAGCACCCCAACCCTAAAAAAGTTTGAACTGCTCCTCATTGAAGAGCAAATGGCAATTATGCTCCTTACTATTTTGACAAGACCAAAATTACTGTGCCAGCCGGTATGTCACATGGCTGCTTTGCAATCTATTAAATCTCATTTATTTTGCTATAATTATATTGCTTATCTAATACATTTGATGCGTTTTACTTAGCTGGGTTTTGGAAAAGTGGTAATGGCTTTAAATATCGGATCTAAAGAAATGGTGTTTGAAAAGAGATTGAAAAGAAGAGAGAGAGCGAGAGAGGATTTCCTAAAGAGTATGGGAACAGGGCTTTGCATTTAGTGTGTAGAGAGAGAGAGGAGAGGAGGGAGGTGCGAAATAAATTGGTATTTATCATCTGACGTAATACCCTCATTATTCTCAACCGTCTCAATTACTCTTGCAATAAATTGTTTTTATGGAAATTCAATCCAAAATAGCCATAACCTTCAATGCTCTAACTACCCATGCCTTCCTACACCTCTATTTTCCAAGAATTACCCCTCTCCCCCTCTTAAAAGAATCCCTATATCAAGAGTACCCACCCACATTAACATTCCAATCCTTATGATAAACTAGCTTAGGTTTAATAAGAAATTGACAAAAAAGGACCATAGAGTAAGCATATGATTTGATTTATATCACCAACCAAAAACAAGAGACCCCTTACATGTAAATCACTTGGGAGTATAAGAAACCTTGGTACTAGAGAGAAGAAACAAAAAAACAAGCTCCCTTTTCCACCATTTTGGAACTGAACACAAACCCATCACAAACCAAAATGGCTCATCTATCATAGCCTATCCCAAGTAAGAAGAAACGAAAACAAATTAAGCCCACCTCTATAACAAAAAAGAAGGAAAAAAAGAAAAGAAAAGAAAAAGAAACTACAATGAGAACAAAAAAAACCTAAAATGTGTGAGAGAGAGACTGAGACTCGTAAGCGAAGCAAAAACCAAAAATGTGTGTGAGAGAGAGAGCAAACTAGTAAAAGAGAAGCAAAAACCAAAATGGGTGGGTGAGTGAGAGAGAGAGAGAGAGAGAGAAAGATTAACCAAAATTAAGAAAGAGAATGAGAAATAGAAACCAAAAATAAGAAGAGAAGGAAAATTACAGAGAATAAGATAGAGAGAGAGAGAGAGAGACTATTTCCCAGTCCGTTTCTCATCATGAAGGAAGTCGAGGAGCACGGTGCTCTTGCATTTGGGGCACTTGGGGTCTTGCTCAGATAACATCACATACATCAAGCAACGAGGGCACCCCACAAGAACCATCGACGTGGCTTCGGGGCTCTCAGAGTATTGCAACCCGCTCCCTTCGAACTCCGCCATGTTCGTATCCGACGAAACACACGAAGAGATCGGAGACGTCGGCAAGAGAGACGAGCGGCTCCCAGAGTCCGACGACTCGTAGCCGTTGTGGCTGGGCGACCGTTCCCCCACCTCCTTGCTTGGTGATAGTGTGAGCTTCAGCTCCAATCTTGGAGAGCTCCCTTGCCTCTTCTCGTTCTTACTCATGCCTACCACAATTCTATTCTCCTATCACACCCAAATTACATATCACCCACATGCATGCATGCATGCATGCATGTATACATACATACATATCTAATCACTAAAATATGCATATATATCAGCATAAATAATTAAATAATGCAAAAAATGCATAATGCATAGAGTATATGCCATAGACATATTAATACCCATTTCATATATTGATACATGTGCATAAATATGTAGACTTACAAGAGTGAGAGAATGAGTATATGTGTATTGTTATATGCTTTTGTATGTATGATGTGTGTGTGTGTTTTGACATTGGGATTGGTGAGAGACAAGGTATTGAAATGAAAATAGGATTATTTGGGGTGGAAGAAAAATGGGAAAGAATATATTGATGAGTTGCTATGCCAATTTCTCTTTGAGATGAGAGAAGCATGGGATTGAGAATATATAGAGAGAGAGAGATCTTTGAGATGGAAATCCAATAGTGGAAAATTAGAAAGAAAACTTTGAGATGAAAAGCCTGAACAAATATGATTGGTCGTGGTGACAATGAAACAGTAAACATGAGCAAAGAGAAAGGTGTCATATACCTTTATATCACAATATTTCTTCTTCCCACAAGAGAGAGAGAAGGTCTTATCCAATTCAACAGTTGCAAAAGAAAATGAAGAACCAAAGAGGTCTAGTGTGATGGGTGTTTTGGCATGATCACAGGTATGGTGATGTTGGTCATGAGAGTTGAAGGCACCATCATCACCATTGAAGCCATTGTTGATGCAGGTGTGTTCACCCTCAAGCCCGTAGTAGTGACCCTCAAGCTCCATGCTCCCCCTATATATATAACAAATTCTACAGGGAAAACTGGCATGGTTTGAGAAACCCAGCGAATAGTAACTGTTTCACAAGGGGGAGATTGAATGGAATTGAAGAATGGGTAGAAAGTGTGTGTAAATCACCCCCTCTTTCTCTCTCTAAAAGTTATTAATTGTGGGAAAAAATCCCAAGATGTTTTTGCAGAGTGGAAAATTGCAGTAAATAGTGTAATTACAAGTGCAGCCTGCCTTCATTCATTGCTCACTTAGTCGGTGAAGCATCGAAGGCAAGCCCCCAACTCAATCTCCCTCTTTCCTCCTCTCTTCATTTCTTAAGCCCTCGCCCTCTCTCCTCTCTCTCTAAACTACATACATACATGTGATTATAATGTAAGGAAAAAGTTCATGTAGCCTCAAAACTCCAATCGGAAAAAGTTGTTTTAATGTTGAAAAACCCTCCAATTGATCATCTCAACATCAAGATGTATGAATATGAAAAAAAAAGAATAAAAAATAAAATAATTGAGTCCCAGATATAGTGTATCTTTCAAGAATTGTATGTGTTTATAGATTTATTTGATTTTAGCCATTTTTTACGTTTAAAATTTTATAATTAGATAGGAAAATTGATTTTCAGATTATCCAAAGAATTTTTTATACTAAAATTACATGTTGTGATAAAATTTGGAAGTGAGTCTTAATTGGATTGTTTAAGGTTGCAATTGTATAGATACCATCTAAAACCCTAATACATACACGTGATTATAATGTAAAGGACATGGTTTTTATGCGGCCAGCCCGCATATTGTATAAATATGGGATTGGCAATAAATATATTTTTTAAATATAATTTGATCTTAATTTTTAGAGAATATATAATCTTTAATATGAAAATCATGAATATGAAAAAAAGAAACAAAACTTAGAAACTACAAATAATACTTACAATAAGAAAACATTTGGATTGTTAGTTACACTGGATTTTAGATGAACCTTTGGACCGCATATTGTAGAAATGTGGTCCAGCCCGCATGAAACAATTATCCTAATGTTAGTGAGAGGGACACAGAGATCATATACGTGGGGCACAAAAATAGATATGTGATGTAGGGTTTTGTACAAAGGAAAAAGTTTATATAAGGGTGAGACCATAATCAATCAAATTAAGGCAAACATCCAAAATTAAGTAGAAGAGATTGTTTTATTATTGAAAAACCCTCAATTTGAGTATGGGCATAAGAAAAAATCAATTTCAAGTTTTGAAAATGTTGCATTTTGTAATGTATAATTTAGACCGTCAATTTTCAAAATTTTCAAATATTCATAGATATATCTATCATTATTTTTGAATCGTTAAATTTTATAACTAGAGTAGAAAATAAATTTTTGGGCCATCACAAAGATTTTTAGTACTGAAGCAACATGTTTCCGCCCCATTTGAAAGTGTGCCTTACTTTGATTGCTTAAAGCTCGGCCTTATACAAACCATGCGTAGTACAAAATGTAGAAATGAAACGCACTCTCTCTTTCTAAAACCTCCCTCTCTCACTCTATATCTCTCTCTAAAATCTCACTCTCTCTCTCTCTAGTGTATGTGTGGACATGGTGATTTGATGTGGGTCTAGTTCAAATTGGAGAAATGAGAAAAGGAGATTGAAAAAATGCCCTTTTTGGCATGTTTAGGTCCATATCATTGTCCATCTACAAGTAGCTCTTAAATAGCCATATTTAGGTCCTGACCCTATAAAATCTTTCACTCTATTATTATTGTTATCGGGCGAGACATTGCTTATACATATGTACTCAAATTTCAACGTATTTTAGTCATTTTTTTAGTAAGCAAGAGGCCCATATTTGAATGAGGGTTCAATTGTCATTTTTGAAATGGTAAGGGTAGTTAGGGTGGAGATAACTATTTTGGTAAATATTTAGTAATATATTTTGGCTTTTAACCATTTTACCGTCCTCATTTAATTTCCGGCTAAATATAGATTTGCTTTCTTTGAATAGTTTCAGTGGGCTTTTTCTCCGCGTGGCACACATTCCGTAATTAGACATGCCGAGTCACTTGTTTTTAGATCCCCAAATTACCCCTATGTGCCTCTTTTATTATTTGTCGATATTTTGGTGATATACCTCTGTATACTAGGGGTTTAAATTGATGAGCATTGTTATCAATTGCATCCATGGAAAGGAAAATGGTTTGATAGGGTTGCAGCTCTCTCAAAAGCCTCACCTCTAATTTTATCCGATTCGATTTGAAATCTGTTTCGGTTTGGTTGAAAAATAAAACAACTGTTTGATTGATTTGGAGGAAGGCTTCATATTTTTTTTATATAAAAATATATTGTTATCGTTTTATATAATTTTTAAAAAATATATAAAATTAGAAAAAAGCTATCACGATGATAATATAGATATAATTTTTAAAAATTAATAATAAATTCAAAGCCTCACCGTTGACAAACCATGACACAAAGAGCAGCTAAGTTATAGTTTCAACATTAACAAATCATACAAGTTGATTAAGCACAACACTTTGACATTTTAGTATGGGCCTACCGTTAGGCCTAGTCTAAGATGTCCATTATAAAAAGGAAAATGGTTTATAAAATTTGCCCAAAATTTAAAATATTTTTAAATATCCAAAATACCCCTGAATAGTATATAACCAGTATACCCCCTATTTTGCCCCTTTTATTGTAAGGCTTTTTAATTCATGCTCAAAAATTTCTTAGAAGGAAATTGCCATTTATTAGCACAAATCTTCATATTTCTTGCGGAAAATTAGAAATGCTCAAGCTTCCATAGCATTTTACATAAAAAACCCCCGAAATTTTGGAATTACCGTGAAGTACCTAAATGTCTCTTCAATACCTTTTAGAATCCTAATAAACCACCATTAATACCTATGACCATTTTATCTGCGTTGGAAAACCTTCCCTTGGCAGGGGCTTGCATTTTAAGGGTTAAGCTTGGCAACTAAGCCACGCGCCCAGGCTAGCCCAAGTGAGAATGCGCTAGGACCTTGGCAGTGTTATTGTCGAACTCTATGATGAAGTTTCTCACTCTATTCTTGCCAAAAGGATTAAGCCCAAATCTCCATTGACTTACTTTTTTTTTTTTCCCAAAAAAGAACTAGCCCAAGCACCCCCTCAGACTCTAGAGGCAAGGGACTAAACAGGCTAAAGGGTTCTGGCCCGGCCCAGTCCAGCCCCGCTCTTTTGATGGGCTAGGTGTCCTAATACGATCTTATTATTGGTTTGAGATTGGTGGGCCTTCTTGGATTGACTCGGGCTCGGCACGGCATGGTTACACTTTCTAAAATATATTATAAAAGAATATGAGGAACCAGGTTTACCATCCCATGCTTAAACACGATTTTACTTTTAGGAGTATTTCAAACGATACAAATTTTTTAAAAGTGAAAAAGAAGGGATCTCAAGTTACCCTAGTTTAGGGCTCGGGTTTGGCTTAGCACGAGTTTATTTGTTTTAGGATGCTATAATAGACATTTTAGTCTAGGCCTACCGGACCTTTTCTCGGCTCGGCTCGGCATGATTTTTGTTATAAATAAAGGGTGTTGTTTGCATAAGATTACAACCTTAAATAATCAAAGTAAGGTGAACCTTCAAACTTTGTTATGAGGTACAATTTTGGTGTCGAAAATTCTTAAGATGGTATGATAAATTATTTCTAATTATAAAGCTTTAAACTCCAAACATGGTTCAAATCAAGCACATATAACAAAGACATGAAAATCATGAAAATGGACGGCCTAAATAATGTGTTGCAAGTTATGTTATTCTTAGGACTTGAAATCTCTTTTCTTTTTCCTCTATATTTATACATCTCGATATCAAGATGACCAATTAGTTGTTTTTCCAACATCAACAACCTCTTTTGAATATTTTTAGATGGGCACCTTAAATCTACATTTTAAGGTGTCAACCTTATATACATTTTTTCCTGCTACAAAATATGTGAATTTTAAAATTGAAAAGGGATTTAAACTTAAAATGTTGATTACCAGGCATTTATACTAGCCATTAAAGCTCCAACTCATCAATTGCATTTTATAATAGATATACATATATAGCACAAGTTTTGTCTCTTATAGATAAAGCCTTCTCTTTTTCTCTTTTAGATAAGATCTCTCTCGTAACCAACAAATCACTTATTTACCTATAAATAGTAATAATATTGTTGATATAAACAATAATGAATGAATTAGAATATATTCAATAATTAGTATAAATTTACATTGCTGATCTAATATTATTCATAAAAAATATTAATTCTTAATAAAAATAATGAAAGTAAAACAAATAAATGTTTTTGTAGTATCTGAACATTCACTATTTTAGAAATTAAAGAGTCATAATAATTTGTAAAACACAAAATTTGTAATAAAAATATTTAATAAAAAACCTTTCATACTATTAAACAAAAAGGGCTAAGCCTAGAGGTGACCCTCACAAATTAAAAAGATAAAAATTATTTAGTTATATATAAATTTTAAAGAGCAAACTATGACTATCATTTCTGGATAAGCATTTAAAATTTTAAAAATAAAAAATAGAAAAATTAAGAAAATTAAAACTAAGAAAACAACTGAAACAATCTTAGTATTTAAAACTGCTTGATTGGAAATTTTAGGCCTGTAATTTTTAAAATCTTAAATTACAATAATAAAAATGTAAAATAAGATAATTACAAATTAAGATAAGATTTGTATTTTTAAAAATCTTAAATAATAGTCATAAAATTTCAAATATCAAAAATTTACAAATTAAGAAATCCAAAAGAAAAACTCTTGTAGCATACTATTTGACACAAACAATTAAAGTTAATGACACAAACAATTAAAGTTAAGGAATTACCTTTAAAATAAAAATAAAAATAATTTTTCAACATCGAGTGAGACATAAAGGACATGACACACAAAAAGAGTATGCTAGAGTAGATAGAAATGTGAGAAACTAATTATAAGTAATGATTAATATAAATGCCAATTATTGCCAGTCCCAAATGTTACATGAGAAAGGAGAAGGGTTGTACTAGGTTGGTAGCCAACATAAAACTTTCATCATATCTTTATCGTAAATCTTGATCCAATGGTCTAGCTGAGATAAGGTTCTTGAATAGATGAGTGGTAAGATAAAAAGTGACAAAATTTAGAATGAATATATCTGATTAGACTTAAGGGTAGCTTCAATAACCAATATTATGAGGGACAGTAAAATTAGGTGGTTTGTGTAGGGTTCTTGAGAATGATGCAAAGGGGTGACCCTCAAAAGGATGAGTATTATGTTTTTCTTGATCCA